TTTCCGTATGCAGCTTTCGTCACTCAATGCGTCTATGTGTCCGGCAGTCGGAAACGTCACTCAACCCGTTAGGTCTCAATATGCAGCCATCCTCACTCATAGCGTCTATGTGTCCGGCACTATCCAACATCACTCAACTTGTGAGGTTTCAGTATGCAGCTATCCCCACTCAACCCGTCTATGTGTCTGGCAATCTCAACCCTCACTCAACCCGTGGGGTTTCAGTATAAAGCTACAATCATTCAACACTTCTATGTGTCTGGCAATCTCCTACATCACTCAACCTTTGGGGTTTCCCTAAACAATTCTCACTCCACGCATCCATGCGTCACGCGTCTTTGGTAGCGCATACTATGGGGGCTATATTTGGGGTGGCGTGTTTTACAGCGCTTTGCCAATAGCGCCAACACATTTGAAGTCTAGATCGGAGGGGGGGGAGGGGGTTGTACTCATAGTCGTGCATGCCGTTGTCGTTAGACCATTGACCTCGCATCCCTACAGAAGCCGGGANCCCGTGTCGTGCCTGCACGCCACTCCACCGTGTAGGCTGTGGCACGGTGTGTTTGCGTTGTGTGTCCGTTTCGAGCGGGGTGTTGATGTCCCCGCGGCCAACACCGGGACGCGGAGGACCTCTAGGGTTTCCGCAGAACAGGCAGGTGTTCTGGGTAGAGGTGGAGGGGGGGTGCGTGTCGGTAAGCATTTATATGCGCGGAGCATCCATGAATTCTCACATGTGGAGAGCGGCGTCCTCATCGCTGCTTTTAGACACAGACAGCAGTAGTGTGTTTGGTGATCGTAGATTTTTTGTTGTTACTAATTTGATAATATGTACATACTGGAGTAGAAGTATACATGAACTCACAAAAAGCTACCCGTTCGAGATATAACCACAGTAGAAGGAGATGTGCTGAAGCCTTTTTTTTTTTTTTGCTGCAGGTTCATCAAACGGAGGACTCAGCCAAAAGACCTGCTGGCCGGGCTACCGTTCGCTCTGCTAGGCCTTGGAGACACCAACTATGACAAGTTTTGGTGAGGTCGCCCCCTCCCTCCCCGCCCCGCAGCCGCCTCGTGATTTCTCGTTCCGAGACTACTGCTGTTGAGGCCGGGATCTCGTGTGTACCTGGTTCTAGTTATTTGCTGGGATCGTTGTTATTTAACACACGATTTGCACGAAAGACAGCAGGCGGTAAAGGGAGTTGTCGTCGATACCTATTGTCCGTATCCCGGATCGCTCCCGACGCGCGAATTACCACGCCGACTTACCATGCTTAGTCGTGTCCGGCTCGCGCTACAGGCTCCAATAATTGCTGTTGTACGTGCTACGTTGGCTTTAGGAAGAAGTACCTTTCAACAAAACGGAATTGGCAACCGCTACGCAATTCATCGGAATCTGCGACAAGCTTGCGTACGGGGTTCACGTGCAACGGAGGCTTGATATGCTTCGCGTTCAATCCGTGAACAACCCGCCCCCCCCTCCTCCGGCCGACCACCGCCACCAGCCGCCCCCTCCCCTCGCTATCCGCACCCCGCACGTTGTTCAACAAAATACATTTTCATATGGTTCATTTTGGGTGTTTTTTTCGCATTCGCAGCGGCACAACAATAGATGGCTCACACACACACACACACCCCCTCCCCCGCGCTCTCAACAAAAAAAGCTACATGGGCAAGAGCTTCGACAAGAGGCTCAAGGAGCTCGGAGCGGCGCCGTTCCACGCTCCCGCCTTCGCCGACGAGGCCACCAACATGGAGGAGACGATCGAGCCCTGGCTGACCGGCCTTTTCTCCTCCCTCGAATCCCTCCGCGGCGGGGGCGGGGCCAACAAGGCCGAAGAGAAGCCACCGCAAGCGGTGGCGGAGGGGGGGCTGGAAGAAGCCTCGCAGGCCGCACAGACCCCTGGAGTAGCGAACGGGCAGCCATCCCCGAGCGGGGTGGACACGACCGGGCGGGGGGAGGAAGGGAACGGTGAGCAGGCGGCGGCAACGGCGGCGGCGGCGGCGGCGGTGGCGGTGGCGGCAAAAACAGGGAGTTCTTCGGCGGCTGGTGCGGGTACCGTCGCGGAATCGCGGTCCGCTCCCGCTCTGGCGACGACACCTCCGACCAATGGGAGCGGAGGTGGCTCTCCCGGTGCCACTCGAGACAGCACCGCCGCCGCTGAAACCAAGGCGCCACCGACCCCGCAGCAGCCTCCGACGGTAGCAGCAGCAGCAGCAGCAGCAGCAGCAGCAGCAGCAGCCGGGGATGCCGGTGGGAAGGTGTTGCTGAAGGCGGCGGCGGGAGGCGGGGGGAGCAAGGCGGTGGTGGCACCAGGGGAAAGCGAACCGCTGCCAACGCACAGGTGCGGTTGTCTAGCTGGGGGGGCGTGTGGTTTGGTTTTTGTCGGCAGGCGATTTGTTGTTTTCGAGGGTTAATAAGTACAACACAGAATACCATCCATTTGAGATATTACGACGATTTGTTGCGTACTGTTCGGGTCTATGAAGATGCGTGTAAGGCAGCGTGCTACGGTGGCGTGTTTGTAAAACCGGGGTCGGCGGGATACCGTACAGGTGCCGGCGAACACGACATGCAGCGGTGTGATCGATCGTTTTTTTGTAAGCTCGTGTGCCCACCACCAAGAGGCTACCGAGGGCCGAACCCAAAGTGGTTTTGTGCGATCAGTGACCGTATGACTAAAATATTAAAGGTACATTAGGAATGAAAATGTCTCCCCCCATCTACCTCTGCCCGCTATGATTGCTGTGATGTACTCGTTAACGACCGCACGTAAGACTGAACAATACAAGGCCAACAATATGTGAATACGTCCCCCCTCCCCCACCCCATCTACCGCGCTCCACGATGGCCATCAGTCGTGTCTATAGTAGGTCAAAAATCAATGAGTACACCCCCCCGTCTGCCATGGCCTAGCGACTATGGCATGCGTTTACGTGGGTACCCTCCCCATCGGTAATCGGTCCCGTGGGAACAATGCTGCGTCCTCTCGAGGACACGTGGTCAATGGTCTAACCGCTAAGGCATGCAAAACATAACAGTACGCCCCCCCCCCCCCCCCCCCCCCCCCCCCCCCCCCCCC